AGTCGACCTCCGAAGCACCAAGCACACCACCCCCAGAGGCAGCACCAACACCAGCTCCAGACCCAGGCTCTCCAGAAACCGAAGGGACACCCTCACCCCCAGACGCAGCACCCCCAGACTCCGCACCAGCACCCCCAGACTCCGCACGACCAGTACCAGCCCCCGGAAGACAAGAGTCCTCTGCAACCCGCGGCTCAGCTCCAACTCCAGCACCCCCAGAACCAGAGACCTGTACAGGGACAGTCGCAGGACCAACCTCTCGAGAGGGAGCACCTGCAGGAGGCGGCGAGGAAGACTGTGGGGAGGGAGGCTGTACAGGGGGGGCTACCGAAGGGGGAGGGCTAGCCTGAGACACACCAGACGGGGCTGGACCAGGGGGGGGAGGCTGTACCGGGGGAGCAGGCGGGGGAGCGGCGGTCAGGAAGAGAGGGGGGGGAGGGACCGGGAGACCTCGACTGGGGTACCTGACGTAGTAGGGGGTGGACTCCTCGAAACGGACGTCACGGGAGTCAAAGAACCGGTGAGAGGGAGGGTGGTAAAAGGTGAAGTCAGAGGAGTCCTCAGGGAAACCAAGGAAGACACAAGGAACGGCGCGAGGCGAGAGCTTGTCCGCGGAGGTGTCGCGGACAAGAGCCAAGCACCCCCAGACACGAAACCTCGACGCGACACCAGGGGACCCTGTCCAAAGACTGGTCGGTGAAGCCTCCGGCCGAGAGACGCGTGGCCAGAGGTTCAGCTGGTGCGCGGCGTACCTGACCGCGTATGGCCACAGGAAATGGGGGGCACGGGCGTGAGTCAAGGAGGTGCGGGCAATCTCCATGACCAGGCCTATGCGACGCTCAGCAACCCCATTCTGCTGTGGGGACTCCGGAAGCGTCCAGGACTGACGAATGCCCTGTTCGCGACAGAATCCAGCGAGAATGCCGGAGCGAAACTCGCCCCCGCGGTCGGAGTGGAGACAGCTGACACGACGACCACGAGTGTCCTGGGTGGTAAGCAACCACCTGATCAGCGTAGAAGTCACCTCAGACTTCCTCGCCAGGGGGAACACTGTGGTGTAGCGGGAGTAGTCGTCAACGACCACCAAAAAGAAACGCTCACGCTCAGGGCCAGGGCGAGGAGAGGGGCCCCAGACGTCCAAGTGCAGCGTCTCAAAAGGCTCGGTGGCCGGACGAAGGGAGGAGGAGTGAGGGGTGGCGCGCAGCCTACCCTCGACGCAAGGACCGCACGGTGGTGCAAGGGACGGCGGCAGCGACGGCAAGACACGCGGGAGACCTAAGACAAGACGCTGACGAGACATAGCGCGAAGACGAGGAGGAGAAGGGTGCCCCAGCCGGTGGTGCCACAAAACGGTGGGGTGGGCAAGCGACCGACAGGAGCACGACGCAGCGACCGGACTAGACGGAGGAACCTGACAAGACACAGCTACCTGGGGGGACGGAGCAACCTGGTGAGACGCGAGGACTCGAACGGGGGGCAAAACAGGGGCCGGGGGCAGGAGGGGCGGCTGTGGCTGCGGCTGCGGCTGCTGCTGCCGCTGCTGCTGCGGCTGCTGCTGCTGCTGCTGCTGCAGTCGCTGCTGAGGGCGCGGGCCAGTGTGAAGAGTGTAGAGACCGGAGCCCGGCTCAGCAGCAAAAGTGGCGAGGGGCTGGTAAGAGTCCCCGTCAACACACACCGCAGTCTCTCCAGAAGGCTCAAACCACACACCCACGTGCTGACTCACGAGGGGTCGCACGCCCACCAAGTTCCGGGAGAACGAGGGGACGTGAAACCCAGTGAGAGACCCAGAAGGAGCAGCCGGACACGGCAAGGTGGTAGTGTGACGCGCGGTGACTGGTCCCGAAGTGGGATCAGCCAGCGCCACAGAAACAGGCGCAGGAAGAGGCGTAAGTGTCGTGCTGTCACGAAAGAAGCAGTGAGAGGCTCCAGAGTCCAGCGTGAACGACAGCGAACCGTCCTCTGAGGTAGCCGCTGGACTAGAGTCTACACAAGAACCTACACTAGCAACAGGCAACTGAGCAAGGCTAGCACCTAAGCTAACAACACCAGAGTAAGCAGAGTCAGAAACACTAGAGTCAACAACAGCATACATAGCATGGGGAGTACCAATCAGATCAACTAACTGCTCAGCAGACATGGCCCACAGAGCGGAGCCGTAGCGCTGAACAAGAGGCAGCCAGTCAGGGGCAGGAGCACCAACCCCGTAGACCAAACGAACCGTGTCAGTGAGCTGAGCAAAGCACTGACCAGGGGGGTGAAACCGGCCACAAGGGTGGCCACGACGAGTGCCTGTCAGAACCTGGTAGGTGCAGGGAGTGTAAGCAGCACCGCGCTGGGTCTGACGCAGCCCCGACCCTGGAGCCAGCTGCTGCCGCTGCTGCTGCTGAGGCTGCTGGGAGGAGAGGGGCTGCTGGTGCTGCAGAAGCTGCTGCTGACGCTGAGCCTGGTACCACGCCGCTGCTCCGCCAACCGGGGCAGGAAGTACAGGAGGCGACTGACGAACTCGGGCGTCGCCACCACCAGCAGGCGCAGTGGAGTCACCAGTCACTGCACGAGGCGCCTCTCCAGGCCCTGAACCTCCACCGCCGCCAGGCGCAACGCCACCTCCACCACCTCCGCCTCCACCTCCACTACCACCACCAGAACCGCCTTTCTTGCCACTCCTACCGCGGGACCGCGACGCAGTCGTAACAGCAGCTGCAGTCGCGTCAGTAGCGGCAGTGGCAAGTGAGGCAGTAAAGGTGGGTAACTGCGGGACTGTGCACCCGTGGAAGAGTGGGGGGGCACAGCACCAGAGGCAGCGGCTACCGAGCGAAGGTTGCTCTCGACGTCCTTGAGTGCAGACTCAAGGACCTCGACGGTGAGCTCACTAGGGTGCTTCAGCAGAAGCGCGTCGCGAACGGAGGCAAGGCGGTCAGGGAGGCTAGTGGCGATGAAATAGATAGTAATCGCCATAGGGGGAGGAAGCAGTGCAAGCTGTGCCTCAGTGCAAGCAGCGCGGTAACTAGCGTCGAGCGAGCGGAGGTGAGCGATCAAGTCAGCAGAGCGCTCAAAAGACGCCAGGTCAGGAAACAGGAACGGGAGGAACAGGCGGCCAAGAGAGACAGCAGCGGGAGTAGAGTAGCGGGCCTTAATCGCAGTGAGGTACGCAGCAGCGGTGCGAACCTGAGTGAAGTGAACCTCCTCAGACTCAGGGAGGAGGCTGCTGAGCGCGATGCAGGCCGCAGCGTCACGTGACGTCCAAGCCGTCTGGTCAGCTCGCTGAGTGGCAAAGCGGGCTCTAGCGGCGTCGTCAGGGGCAGGTCCTAAAGGCGTAGGGTCGGGGGGCGCAGGTAGGGCACCAGTAGCGTGCGCCCAGAGGGACTCGCCTGCCTGGACCTGACTCTCTAACAGACGGCGAGCACGAAGAAGCCAGACGGAAAAATCAAGAGGTCTACCGTCAGCGTCGAAACGAAGGACACGCTGAGTCGCCATAGCGAAAACGAACGCGAACGGAGAGGGAGGGGACAGCAGTAGATGAGAGGCAAATTAGGGTTCGGCGGTACTCTGGGACAGGGGAGGAGCGGACGCCACAGCGGGCGTGACAGCGGGAGGTAACAGGGGACTAAGCAGCGGAGAACGAGAGCGGGCGCAGCGGCGGGCGATGGCAGCGCGTACGGCAGCAGGGGCCAGCAGCGCGCGCAGCGGGCGACGGCAAGGGGGGGGGGGGGGCAGCGGCGACGCGCGCAGCGGCGGGCGACGACGGCGGGGCCGCAGCGAGGCGCGCAGGGGGCGAGCGACGGCTGCAGGCGCGGCGGCGACGAGCGCGGTCGCGAGCGACAGTGGCGGGCGCTGCGGGACGGGCGACTCGACGGGGGGAGAGGGCAGGAGCGACGGGACAGGGGAGGGCGACGTGACGGGGGGAAAGGGGCGGGTGCGATGGGACAGGGGGAAGGCGACGTGACGGGGGGAAAGGGGCGGGTGCGACGGGACAGGGGGAAGGCGACACGACGGGGGGAAAGGGGGGGGGCGCGACGGGACAGGGGGAAGGCGACACGACGGGGGGAAGGCGCGGACGCGACGCGACGGGGGGAGCGCGACGCGACAGGGGGAAAGGGACGGGCGCGACTCGAGGGGGGGGGGAAGGCGACGCGAAGGGGGGGGGGGGGGGCGGGCTACGCTACGAACGAGAGCGTGGCTCGGCGCTAGGCTCGGTAACAACGAGAAGGAGACGAACGAGAGCTAGGATCAGGCTCGGGTGGTACGAACGGAGAACGGCGGAACGGGATCCCACAGGATCCTAACCTAACTGATACCATGTCAGAATGAAGAATGGATGATGCATTGATGTTGGTTGGGGTACATATAGCTAACCCTAAGTTTTGTACCCCCTAAGACAAACCTCACTATAGGCTACAACATTTGACAATTATCCATTATTTGAAAGATCCGTTTGAACACAGTTTCAAAACATTCAAACGGGTGCTCTAAGAAGTGTGTAAATACACTCTTCAAATGATATCCCCAAATTGTCAAACCAAAAATAAAGGGTTGCTACGCAACCCAAAATGCTAAAATCAGAGCGCCTAATATTTGAATCGTAAGCGCTGATCAGAATATTCACAATATGTTTTTTTTATATATATATTTCTTGCTTGCTGGAATAACGGGATGTGCCTGCAAAATGGATGACTGAACTGTTTGCGCTGCGGGAACAGCGATGCCCATCCCCCAAACCCTAGCTGTTTAGGCCCATCTCCCATCGCTGATCCCTTCTCCCTTAGATGGATCTTTCCCACAGCTCCGTGCCCCCACAAACTTTTCTCGTCGCCTCCCATTTTGTCGTGCGCTCCACGTTCGGTGATAGGCGCCTTGTTACTTGCTGTGTGACTAACTCCACGCGCTTGAACTAGGGACTCGCAGGCAGGGCATTTGCCGATTCCAACTTTCCACTTCACATATCTGTCGGGCGATTGGCACATCGCAGCAGGCGCGCCATGGATGCTCTCAGCGCGCCATTCATGGTAAGCAACTGTCGCCGGTATGGCGGGCGTGGATACCGCCGGTGATCTGATCGTGAGTGACGAGTATCTGACGAGCTGTCTCGGAGCGCCCAACGTGCACGAGGGAGTTCTGCGCGCTTCTAGCGGCCCGTTTCATGTCTCGGAAAGGCCGTCCAGTCGCTGATTGTTTCTAGCCAAGTCCAAAGTCGCTGCCGTGGTCCACCTCTTGAATTAGGCCGTTGAAACAAAGAGGACACAATGCGTTGCTGGGCACATTGAAAGGCGCGCTCGCGATCAGTGCGCGCATGCGGGCAGGGATTTGGCCAGATTTTCATTTTGGCGAGTGCCACGTGGGTGCTCTTTTGAAACGACTCCCGGGACAAAAAGAGCAACAACGGCGAGTCAAGGCGAGCTAGGGTTTAGATGTCTATTACCGTTGGCTCGACCGTGTTCGCAGCTGAACTGTTACATTTACGAAATACCTCACTGCTCGCATGATTGGTGAATAAGTGGTTCCTTGCCTTCTCGCTGCACCAATTACCCTTCCTCCTCTCTCCCCCCCCGCCCCGCCAGCCGCTCGAAGCTGCGCCGGACGGGCGCAAAGGGAAGGGCAAGAAGCGCCGGGAGGTGGCGGAAGCTCCTAGTGGCGCAAGTGACGCCGAGGCAAAGCGCGCCAAGCAGACGGACGCAGAGCAGCAGGGCGCGGGGGACGATGGGGGAGAAGCGGCGCAGCCCCTGGGGGAGTCGGACGAGCAGGCGCAGACGCAGGCGGTGCAGTTTGTCGGGTTGCGGAGCGTGCGGAGAAGCAAGGAGCAGCAGAAGGGGCGGGAGCGGGAGAAGCGGGAGCGGTACGCGGGCGCGGGGGCGAAGGCTGGCGGGGGGGCGCGCGCAGGGGACGGGAAGCAGCGGCGGAAGAAGGCGGTGCAGTCGAGCGTGGTGTACCTGGGGCGGCTGCCGCACGGGTTCTACGAAGACGAGCTCCACGGTACGCGCGCGCGCACGCGGGCGCACGGGGAGAAGGGCTTGGGGTACGGGGTTTGAAGGGGTTAAAGCGAGCAGGGGATAGGGTTTAAAGGAGTGTAGTGAAAGTTTGGGAGTCGGCACGAGAGCAGGGTACAGGTAGGTGCGTGAGGTGCGAAGAGTCACAGGCGGTGTTTATCTCTTTCCAGAACCAGGTGCGCGTGGGGACTGTGAGATTTCTATCTGAGAGTTTTCTATTCCAGGATTGCCCGTTCTGAGAGATTTCTATCTGCCGCAGCAAAGCGTGCTGGACAATGGGTTCCGGAGGAAAAGAGCAGGCGCGTCAGATTCGCTCTGCGCTCTGTGCTTCCCTTCTCACGACGTGATCTGTCGATGATCGTCCCACATGCCAGAAAGGAAGAAAGAAAGAAAGAAAGAAAGAAAGAAAGAGAGAAAGAAAGAAAGAAAGAAAGAAAGAAAGAAAGAAAGAAAGAAAGAAAGAAAGAAAGAAAGAAAGAAAGAAAGAAAGAAAGAAAGAAAATGATTACACACAAACACACACACGCGTGCGAGCGCGCGCCCGGCAGCGCATCAGCACTGGCTTTCTTTGCGCGTGGTCCCGTCGTCATGCCTGTCCGCATCCTCACCCTCTTATCTCCCCACGCCCTCCCTTCGCCTCGGCCTCTCTCTCGCCCCTTTGTGTTGCCCTGCTTCCCCCTCTCCGCATCCACCCATCCGCGCGCAGGGTTCCTGAGCCAGTTCGGCGAGATCGAGCAGCTGCGCGTGGTGCGCAACCCCAAGGTGCGTGGTGCGCATGGGGACGCGCGGATGATGGGGCCGGTTGGTGTCACACGGGGGCAACGGGAGGGCAGTGGGATAGGAGACGAGAGGGAGGGGAGAGAGAAGGGAGAGGGAGGGGAGGGGTAAGGGAGAGGGAATAGAGATTGGGAGGAAAGGGACGGAAGGGAAGAGGGGTTCACGGGAAGAGAGAAGAGAGCACTGAGGTTGTTTACTGTTTTCACGTTATCCTTGCCCTCGTTTCTGTTAAGTATGTTTCATTCTCCCTTCAGCCTCCTTTCCCGTTACCGTTCCCTCCCTCCCTCTTCCCCTCCCCCTCCCCTCTTTCATTCTGCCGCTTCTCACCCCTCCTCCCCTTCTCCCCCACCTCTCCTCCCCTTCTCCCCCACCCCGCCCCCCTCTATTCCCCCCCACTGTGTGTGTGTGTGTGTGCGGCGGCACATTGCGGGGCGGGCGGTGGAGCAGACGGGGAGGTCGCGGCACTATGGCTATGTGAAGTTCGCCGCGCCTGAGGTGCGCGCTAGGCTGCTCCTTGCTTGGGCCAGCTCGTTTGCTGGGGTTGCTGGGTGGGGAGAGGAGGGCAGTGCAGTTGGGAAGGATGGGGGGGTGGGTGGGTATGTGTGTTCATGCACGCACATGCATGTTCATGTGTGTAGTCGAGCGAGTGAGGCGGTTGCATGCATGTTCTTGTGTCTGCGTGAGTGCATGAACCCCCCTCAATTCTCAAGGTCCATGCATGAAAACTTACCCCACCTACCCCCTTTTCCCCTCCACCTCCCCCTCCCCCTCCCCCTCCCCCTCCCCCTCCCCTCTTTTTTCCCCCGCTACCCCCTACCCTCTCCACCCCGCCCCACCACTGCCCGTGCGTGCATGTCATGGCATCGCATGGCGTGGCGTGGCATGGCGTGGCATGGCATGGCATGGCGTGGCGTGGCATGGCATGGCATGGCATGGCATGGCAGGTGGCGGCGATAGTGGCGGAGTGCATGGACAACTACCTGCTCTTCGGCCACCTGCTCAAGACCCACCTCGTCCCCGCCGCCCGCGCCGACCGCGACCAGCTGTCAGTGCCGTGGGGGGATGGAGGGGCAAGGAGGAGGGAATGGAGGAGGGAGGGGCATGCTGTGGAACGTGGGGGGCAGTGGGGTGGGGTTGGGGTTAGCATGGGAGTGATGCTGGTTTGTTGTGGGTAGCTCACTGCCACCATAAAGTGTGGTGGGTAATTTATTGAAACAGTTAGTAGCAGGCACATGGCATGTGGCTAGAGTGCGTGCCATGGGTGGTTGCAGCAAGTGGGGACTATCACCCCAGCGTCATACCCTCGCGTTTGAACCGAGGGTACGACAACCTTCCCCTTGCTGCCCTGCCATGCTTTCATACCCACGCGTTTGCTCCACTCGTTGCCGCCGTCTGTGTTACGAGCACAGCCCACTGTCTCAAACGGCACTTGCTCCTTGTCCCACCCATGCCCCCCCCCTGCCAACAACTCGTCCCGGCCCGCCTCTCACAGGTTCTACACTCCCCACAAGAACCCTCCAGAAGTCTCTCAACCCAAGACGGTAAGATTCTACCAAGAGCTTTCAAGAGCGTTAATCTAGTAGTTTCCCACGAGCCCCATATGCCATATGGCTAACCTGGCATATGGCGTTGCATGGCATTGCCATGAGCAGGTGGAGACATGGGAGGACTACAGTGAGCAGGCGCGCAAGCAGTCCAAGAAGCTCAACGCCACCATGAAGCGCCTCAAGGCCGCGGGCATCCAATACCACTTCCAACCCAAGGTGCGCCCATGCCCCTGCCTTCTATCACTTGTTTCTGCTGCCGCTGCTGCTTCTGGCTGGAGATTGAACCTGGAAGGTTGAGTCAGAGAGGTTAGGGAAGGAGTGCAGATGGTTGTGAGATAGTTTTTACCGTTCGTTGGTTGTTGGATGGAACTGAAGCGGTCTGCGCGTGTGCTTGATTTCGTGTTTTCATCTCTTGATTGTGACATTGTTTCTTTCCGTTGCCTTGTACTCCTCTTCACCTAACGCCTTCTCTCCCTGGTCCCCCTTCCTCTCCGTCTTGCCCCTTACTCTTCCCCCTACCTCATCCTCTCTTGGCCCTGTTGTGCTGCGTGCAGCCCAAGGCAGCGAGGCCCGAGGGGGGGATGCACCAGCGCTTCAACGAGGAGGGCGAGGCAGACCCTGCCGCTGCCACAGCTTCAAGCCCAGCCCCAGCCTCTGCAGGCACTGGCAAGGGGGCGAAGCAGACGAGTGGCGCGAAGGAGCCAGGGAAGGCAAAGGAGCAGAAGAGGAAGGAGAAGGCGGAGGGGAAAGTGGATGGGCAAGGGGAGAAGAGCGCGGGAGATGCCGAGGCAGGGAAGCAAGAGCAGGCTGGGAAAGGTGTGAAGGAGGTGCAGGCAGAGGGTGGGGATGGATTGGCAGGGAAGAAGGTGAGCAGTGGAGGCGTGAGTGAGGCGACAGTGCGGGGCGAGGAGAAGAAGTGGGGCGAGGAGAAGAAGTGGGGCGAGGAGAAGAAGGGGGGCGAGGAGAAGAAGGGGGGCGAGGAGAAGAAGGGGGGCGAGGAGAAGAAGGGGGGCGAGGAGAAGAAGGGGGGCGAGGAGAAGAAGGGGGGCGAGGAGAAGAAGGGGGGCGAGGAGAAGAAGGGGGGCGAGGAGAAGAAGGGGGGCGAGGAGAAGAAGGGGGGCGAGGAGAAGAAGGGGGGCGAGGAGAAGAAGGGGGGCGAGGAGAAGAAGGGGGGCGAGGAGAAGAAGGGGGGCGAGGAGAAGAAGGGGGGCGAGGAGAAGAAGGGGGGCGAGGAGAAGAAGGGGGGCGAGGAGAAGAAGGGGGGCGAGGAGAAGAAGGGGGGCGAGCAGGACGTGGTGGCGCGGGCCAAGGCAGTGGCGGCACGGCTGAAGCAGGAGGCGGAGAAGTTTGCGCAAGAGCTGGGGAAAGATGCTGTGGATGCTGACGATGATGGTGGCTCACGTGAGGGAGGGGCGGGTGTGGATGATGAGGGTGCAGGGGTGGTTGACGAGCCATGGAGCGATGAGCATGAGGAGGAAGAGGAGCTGTTGCATGAAGAGCAGGATGTGGAGGAGGAAGAGGATGAGGAGAGTGAGGGTAGTGGAGAGTGGGGTAGTGACGAGGGGGGCAGTGACAAGGGGGGTAGTGAAGGGGAGGGAGATGAGGACTAGTGGTTGCTGCGTCAGAAGATGAGAGGAAGGCCTGTGTTGCCAGTTTTTTGTTAACCCAAAAGACAAAATTCTTACTGGTAACACCTGCAACCTGAGATGTAGTGCTAAATTACCACAAGGGTATTCTTGCCTTGACAAGCAGGGCCCAAAATTGGTTTTGGCTCACCCTGTCTAATCAGAGTTCCAGGGTGAACCAACCCTGACTCCTAGAGTAAAAAATCTGGTACACTGATGGAAACAGGGTAAAAAATAACTTAATCTGACTATATTACTAAAGTATATATAACGTAACGAATAACAATGTGCGAGCCGAAGTGTCTCAGTCAGTTAGGCGTGTGTTGCGACTAGGAAGGTAGAGGCTTCGATACTCGAGTCGGGAAATTAGGGCGCGCGTGCGTTCCGTTCCCAAGTTCGAAAATAAGTTCGAACTTTAGCTGGTTACTCTATTCGCTAATTTCGCCAAAAGCGTCTAACGAACATCGCGAATTTCAGGGCTTATGAAAGTTCGAGCTTCAAAAGTGAACGTGACTCGAGTTGGCGTTGTGAACGTGCGTGCGCACGTTCACAACGAGTGTGTGTGTTTTCGGCACGTACGAACACTATGCGACATTGACGACTGCATCACGAAACAAAAAGTGGCATTATAGTGACTTGGCGAGCATTTACCGGGTAACATAAAGGTTCGAATTTTGATGTTCGACCTTGCGTGTGTGATTGCATCTTTGCAGTATTGTTCCCGCAATTTTTGAACTTCGCTACAAGGAAAGTCGAATTCCGTTTGACTTAAGTTCAAAAGAATTATTCGCCCCCAAAACATGAACTTTGTCAAATTTGACGGAACGCAAGCGCCCTTAGAGTTATTTTGCGTAACATCCACTGTATCCTCGCTACGAAAGACTCGGTATCCTCGCTACGAAAGACTCGGTATTTATGTAACAATGCTAAAACACTGATTAAAACCGAAATGCAAAATAGTGAACCCGGGGCCAGCTTGAAAGGGGGCCTGCCGAGCGAAACAATTTTCCCTCGTTTGCACTGTTCCATTGGGAGCATTTTTGCAAATCGAAGAGATCTGATTGGTTCCCGCCAAACCCAAAAATTGGCAACGCAGCACGTCAGGCGTCGCACATCTGTTTGGGAAGGTGCACAACACTAGCACTGCGATCGCTCGCGCACGTCCTTGCGATTTTGGGCCCAGCTTGGGGTTCAAGTTGGGCCTGGGTGAACTACTACTTCTTCCAACCGTATATCTCTGTTCTTTTGTTGTAAATAGCATGTCTAGTCATAGAACTGTCAACTTAGGCCGTTGTTGTTTCAAATTAGACGCATAGCGAAGCTGCCATGGTTGTGCAGTTCTTCCTGCCATTTCGAACGCACTCTCGCTGCCTTCCGATCGCATCTCGCTCGCCCTCCCGTTCCGAACGACCTTGCGTCGTCCGTCCCATCGCCGTCCCGTCGCCTTCCCGTCGCCGTCCCGCTGCCTTCCCGTCGCCGTCCCGTCGCCTTTCCTCGGATTTCAAAAGGGTACAAAAATCGAAACTATTTTTTAGTCAGGGTAAGAAATCCGGGAGGCTGACTGGGTCAGGGTAACCCCAAAAAAAGCGGCCGCCAGTCAGGGCAATCAGGGTATTTTACCCTGACATTTTGGGGCCTGTTGACAAGTCCTTGAACCAGGTGTCACATCACATGTGGAAAACTGAGTGGCGTGGAAATGCTTGCCTGCAACTAATATAGTGACCCCCCTTTCTAGTTGGGCCCTCCTGAAGACGATATGAATGAGTGTAAGGCTGTTTTCGACATTCCCTACCGGGTGCTTCATCACGTACAGCAGCAGCCATTGTTCGCCCGTTACTGCCAACGGGGCTTCGCCAACATTCGAGCACTCTTTCACCAAACCATTGCGTACAGCAGCAGCCGTTCTTCACCCGTTACTGCCAACAGGGCCTCAGATTCATTTTTTCCTAGGCTAAAATGTCAGCCTTACCAGGCTATGCTAGGCTGATCAATCAGAGTTGTATCCTAAAAAAAATCTGAAATTACAGAGCACCGTCGGAGCCAAAAAAATGTTGACTAATCAGCCTCACTAAAAAACAAAGGCTGAACAATGCTACGGTAAGTTAGCAGGCCTAACAAACAAGGAAACACTACATGATTTTAGCAGCTCATTTCATCATCTTCATCACTAGAACTATCTACTACATCTCCTACTGGTTCCTCATCATCTTCATCTATCCCGTTGTCATGCTTGCCCTTCTTGTTGTTGTCGCCTGGGGTTGGGGTGCAGATGGGAGCATTGCTGAAACTCTTACGCTTCTTATAACTCCGCCAGATCTCAACTACCTCATCGTAGTTGGGCTCGTACTGCATCAGGGACATACACATGAGGTCCCCCAGCCTCGCTTCCTTGATCCCCCCTCGCCACCATGTCTTGATCACGTTTTGCCAGGTGAATCCCTTTTCACACTCCACTGTGCTGAGGGGAACACAACCACCGCCACCTAGAGCTGCACCAGATTGGGGTAGCTCCCCCGCCAGTTGGGCATCTTGAGCATCGCCGTTAGTCCACTGTGGAAACCTCTCTCTTCCTTGGGGCACGTGAAAGGACTGAACAAAAGAGGCGAAGCTCCTTGCCTGCGAGCCTCTTGTTGATGCATGGAGGGAGGGAGGGAGGCAGGGAGAAGAAGGCGAATAAGCATACAACACAGAGGCTTTTGAAGCATAGGGATGAAAGCATGACATCCCATATTTAACATTCCGTAACGAACCTGGCAAGATCTCATCACGGTCATGAGCCTTGAACATCGTCACCAGCAAGTGAAGCCACTCCTGGCATCGAGCATTCCGCTCCGACTTGCTTTGTGGCCATGCATCTGGCGTCAACATGCGAACTCTAGAGAGCGAGTCGAGGTCACCGAGCCTTCCCTCCAGGTTCGCCACGATCCTCTCTGCGAACTCGGTGCACATCTCGATGCAGCCGTCGTGGTCCTCCGGGCCACTATACGAGTCCACGGGCTCGTCGTGAAGGAACGTGAATGAAGATGGTCGGCCGTCGCTGTCCACACCCTCCACCTTCACTTCTCGGTTACACCCCGGGCCATGTTGCTTCAGGAAAGGTGACAGCCACTGGCTCATGCCACCGCCGAAGTCATCGCCACAGTCCACAAAGCGGCTCTCAATGTGATTGGTTGTCCGCTTGATCTGCGCATGCAAACACACCAGATCGAGCTGGACAGACAAAGGCACACAAATTGTAATTAGTGAACCATGCGTAGCTAGCATCGTACCACCTCACCTGTCTCTGCTGGAATATCTTGATCAAGATGTTGAGCTGCTCAAGCACATCAAACAGGAAGTAATTGAAGAAGTGAAAACGGCAGGAGCTTTTCATAGCATACATCTTGCTGTTAAGCTCCATCAGCAGCACAATTACTGCCTGCAAAATAGCGACGAGGCGACGGACGGCATCCCCCCTTGACAGCCACCGAACCGAGTGGATGCCTTGCACTTCAAGGCTCATTTCGGTGAACATCTCTTGCAGATCCATGAACCGTGCATGGCGCGGACCCGACCGACCAAGCAAATCGGCTACAGCCCAGATGAGATTGTCGACCATGTCGAAGACGGGGAGCTCCTCTGCCGCATCCTTCGCTACAAGAGCCTCCCTGCAGGTGGAACACATCAAACTCGGGACACTAGCAACGAGTTCATACAAGATAGCGCAACGGGCTATGAACGAAACAATCGTGCACACTTACCTGTGAGCGATGCAGTGAACGGAGACGAGGTGCGGGATTTTCTGACGCAGTCGGAGAACCAGGCCGGCCTTCGACCCCATCATCACTCTAGCGCCGTCAGTGCTAATGCCGGAAATCCTCTGCAAACCGACACCGACTTCCTGCAAGTGGGAAAGGAGGATGCTGAGAAGAGAAGAAGCGTCCGCCTTTTCCACCGTGATCAGCTGCATGGACTTGGTCACGGGGACGTTATCGTGGATGAACGTGGCGTACAAGATCATGTGCTTCCCTCTGAGCCAATCCGTGCTTTCATCGATGCTGATGCCGATGAAAGGGCTTGTCAGGATGTGCTCGCTCCAGTTGAGTTGTCTAGAGCCAGATAGCAAGGGCCGGCATGAGCTCACCGAAGCCGTACCTGCTAGCAGAGAAAACCATGACCGTATATTAAAAGCAGTAAGAAAAAAACTTGGGTATCCCTTCTTAGGGAAGCCGTGAACATCCTTGCGCGCGAGGTAATGCACCAGTTTCACCCATGTTCCCATAGGCGCATCGCAGGTACTGACGAACAGCATGGAGTCGAACAACGCCATGACTCAAATCTTCTCAGCATCAACGGCACGATGTTGGTCGATCAGTGGCTGCTTTGAAGCCGCGCTCAACAGGGCCTCCTGCTTCTCCATCAGCAGTTTGTGTTTTGTCGTACTGGCGTGCTTGCAAAAAGCCTGCGTCTGCACGTCGGTCGGCCCTCGCCCTGTCCGGCCACATCGTCCCCTGACTCCGGCATGCTTGGTGCACACAGTGCACTTAAAAGCAAGGAACCCGGATTTAGATTTACTTAGAACAAGCCACGGGAACCTCTCTGACCACTTGGTTTTGTACTTGAGGAGAGCGTCTGCATATATGGCCTCAGAAATATCTATGACCAATGATGGGCGAGGGGATGTATTGTTCACGACAGGTTGCTCGACATCGGCGCTGGAAGATGGCTTTGCCCAGCTCAGCGCCGACTGCTTCAGCTTGAAGGTGCGCGGGGCAGAGGACTTCGTTGTAGGCTGCTCGACAACCACAGTGTCGGAGACGGCAGCCAGCGCAGCAAGCTCACTCCGGAGGGAATCCGGGCTTGAACAAACGGGTGGGTGGTCATGGTTCACCATTACTCCTAGAGTAGGCTTTGTAGTAGGAGGTATCGGTGACAACGACGCAACCGTCGGGTCACGACTATTTGATTTTCCCACGCGTCGACGCTTTAGATGACAACTTTTGCGT